TCTGGTAAAATAGTTTCTCCTGAGGGCAGACCTTGTTAAGAAAAACAGAATTCTCTGTTGTATTTCAAAATGGTTCCTTTACCCCTTCCGTTGCTGGTTGTATGAGGGAATTTTTCTCTGATATTCACTGTGAGCTCCTGGAAGTAAAACTCCATAAAAGTATGAGGACCCCTTGTGACTGGGTCTCCCTGGCGCTTGGAACTCTCAGAGTTGTCCACACTGAATTTCCAGCAATTCATCAATTACAGTTTATATTTTCTTACCTTACCACTGGTTCCTGTGGAGGTTTCTTCTCCTGAGTTTCTGCTGTAGCAAATTATCATTTTCTGTATTCATCTACCTCTCTAAATTTGAGGGGCAGCAGTTTGCCCTGTGACCTCACTTCTCTTATGGACCTAAAATGAGTTGTTGATTTTTCATTTTGTTCTGCTTCTTATTTATTGTTAGAATGGAGTTGGTACTTCCAAGCTCTTTTACATGCTGGACCCTTTTCCAAAATTTTTTTACAACTTCCAATTCTGATTTCATAGATGCAGTAGAAAGCCAAAACATGACAGTATACAAAAATATCTTTCTGGCCTTAAGATTGGGAAGGATTTTTAAAGCAAGACAATAAGCATAAACTATTACAGAAAAGGCACATAACCTTTTATATACCTGAAAAAGGTAATATCAATATATTCAACTATCTTAAAATTAAGACAGCTCATCTCTCTTCCACATGGCATCAGTTGGCTCAACTGCAGCTGGAGGATCTACTTCCAACATGGTTTATTCACGTGGCTAGCAAAATTGGTGCTGTTTCTTCTCTACATGGACCTCTCCAAAGGATAGCTTAGCCTTCCTCATACCATGGTGACTGGATTCCGAAAGCAAGTGTCCCAAGAGACAGGAAAGTGAAGGTTATTATTTTTTTGAGGTTTGATTCCAAAATAAGCATAGCATCATTTCCACCATATTCTATTGATCAAGTAGTCACAGAGCCCAGATTCAAGAGAAGGAGAATATTAGTCTACTCTCTGGACATAAATGATTTACATTTTTTATACTTGGAATATTTATTTTTCTCCTTGTAGGATTTCCCATTAAAAGTCTTATCCCTTTACAACATCAGGCTTCAAATGTAGGATTTCATCATCTAAATCATATCCAGGTGCAAATGAGATGTTTCAGGTGCACTTTATCAGATATAGTTCCTTAAATGAAGTTCTCAATCTAAAGACCTGTGAACTAAAGAAATATGTTGTCTGCTCTCCACACATCCAACATACAGTGGTGGGACTGGCATATGATAACATAAATACACCTGTTCAAAGGGTAGAAAGACTAGAAGCACAAAGCAGTCATCACTGGTCTATAAAAATTCTGATATCCAGCTGGGCATATGTTGCCAATTTAATTAGATCCAATAGTATTTTCTGGGAGTTGTTTTTCATTACTCTTGGTTTTGTCCTCTGAATCATCATTTCCTTAACATAAGAAAACAGATTGCCTTCTTGGTCTTCTTCCTACCTGTGAAAGGTTGAGGTCTAAAAGATTCTTTTTATTTTGTACCTTTTAGTCTTAGCTGGCATTGCTTCCTCCAGAATGATTCTCTTAGAACTTCAATGAGTTTTCTATGAATACTATTGGGATTTACCTCATTAGACAAAAGCTACAAACACAAATCTTTTAAAAGTAAGCCCTTCTCTAGTTTGGGCTTCCTATATAGCCACTATGAGACAATGCCCGTAAGATTCTTAAAAATTCTTTCGTTTAAGAGAGAGAATCTGAGAGATGTGTCCATAAGATTCTTAGAGGGCCTTTGGTCTGAAAGAGTCTATGGAGCATAGTCTCAAATCATTCTGACATCTTAACGAGATTTTATTGTCCCCTTCTGGATTTGACTCTTTCTTAATTCAGGATTACCTGCCTTATGGCGAGACAGGTATGAGAAGCAGTTTTGTTTTTGAACACTGCAAATCCTTGGATTCTTTATGTTTTATATTTGTTATTTTTTAAGCTCATCCCTTTCATCTTGCATTTTTATCATAGGCAGTGAGAAGAAGCCAGATGGTACTTTCATTACTTTGTCTAGAAATCACCTTAGCTATTTCATGGAGTTCATCAGGTACATTTTCTATTTCCATGTTACTTCAAGTGACAGTATTGTCAAACTTTCCATCACTACCTAACAAGAGTCCCCTGTCATCCATCTTCCATTAAGAATTTCCTCACTTTCCTTTAAGCCCTTATTGACAGCTTCCTCAACACCCTTTTTGTGGCCCTTTATGCTTCTTTTTGCTGCCCTTTTCCAAACTCAGTGCCTTGTGTGTCAGGTTTCTGTTACTGCAGCACTCTATTTTTGGTTCTACAATCTGTTCCAATAACCTTTTGTTATGTAACAAAGTACCACAAAACTCAATGGCTGAAAACAACAATGTCGGCAGAGTTAGGTGGCAACAGCTTGTCTCTGTTCCATGCAGTATTAGCTGTAGTGGCCCGACTAGGAGTGGAGGATGCTGACAAATTGGTTCTGGTTTCTCTCCACATGGACCTCACCACAGGGTGGTTTTGCCTCCTCACACATGGTAGTTGGGTTCAAAAAGTGAATGTCCCAAGAAACAGGAAGTGGAAACTGCCAGCTTCTTAAGCCTTGGACCCAGAAACTAGCACAGTGTCATTTCCACCGTAGACTATTGGCCGAGTATCACAGAGATCGATGAAAGGGATATCAAAGAATTTGGGGGCCATGTTTTAAAATCGCCACATTCTTCTAGGGGTTAATAGTTTGCCTTTTATATTTCACCCTTTAATCCATGTAGAATTTATTTTTTTAAACATTGCTGGACCGGTTATAATTTTTTTTCTGTTTTGTGTGTTTTAATTAGGTAAAGTTTATATACAGTGAAATATACAAGTCTTAAGTGTACAGTTTGATGCTTTTAGTCACTGTAAGCACCCATGTAACTACCTCAATCAATATGAAAGTCATTTCTACCCAAACCTTCCCCTGATTGTGCCCCAGAAGTTACCTTATAGATTTTCCTGTTCTTGAATTTAATATAAATGGAAACATACCATATGTACTCTTTCCTATCTAGTTTCTTTCCCTCAAAATAATGTTTGTGAGAAGCACCTTTTCAGTAGTTCATTTTTACTGCCAAGTGGTATTCCAATAAATGAATATACCACAATGTATATATCTATTCTCTTGTTGATGGACATTTGGGTTGGTTTTCATTTAGGGCTATTATGTCTAAGCTGGTATGAACTTATAATGTTTTCATTTATTTTCATTAATCTTATCTCTGTGAGTTCTTGCATTTTTCAGCAGAAGAATCATATTTTGATATTGAAATCCTATTTCTTAATAGGCTTCAACCAGTCCTTTGATTATTAGGTATACCTTTACACTCACCTCCAGAGGCACCTGCCCATTCTTAGGTCTTTTGTGAATTATTAGGTGAAACAGTTTAGTTGTCATCATTCCCCATTCTTGGTTAAGGATTCAGCTTTCTTAGGTCTGCTAAGTCAGTTGTTACTTTGCCAGTCTGCTTTCCAGCTTCCAAAATTTTATGTTGTCTCCTCTCTTGTTATCTGGCTCCTTTTTGTGGGTTTTAGGAGAAAACAGAGTTAAATGTTTATTTCAGTTAATCTTGTTTACCCTTTCTTTTTTCCTTTCTCTCTTTTTCACCTGTCATCTTGCACATTCTGCCTCTCTGTTTGTTTTCCATTTTCTTCTCACCTTAGAAAGTGGTATAGTGTTATTTGCTTCCCCTTAGAATTAGAATGATAAAAGTAGGAAAGTCCTCAGAGAGCGTCTGGCTCAGCTCCCGCATTTTACCAGTAACATGGTAAGCCTGAGGCCCAAGGAGGACAGCAGTCCATCCACAGCCCACACAACTGTTGCTCTTATCTTTTTTGCCTTTAATAGCAAAAGAGAATTTTTGCCCTCCTACCTTTTTAGTTAGTGAGCCATGACAGTGTGAAAAAGGAGAGTACCCCCTACTCAGGTCAAAGCCTAGAAGGCAGATTGACAGGGAGAATGTCATAGCTGAGCAGGCTGCTATGAGTCCTCTCCAGAGACCAAGAAAGCAATTCTGTTTAGGACCACCTCTTTTTTCTATACCCACCTATCCCCTACCCCATCACAGTGCCCGGTGGAGGGTTGTACTTAGGACAGTACCTAGCTATCTTGACAGGAGAAACTCCTGAAACAAACAACTATCTAGATGGGACCCTCAAGCCCTTTTCATGTTTTCCTTTGTTCCATTTTTTTTTTCTATTTTTGCTACTTTTTTGGGGCCTGAGTGTTGATGTAGAAGTAACAAAAGGCCTTCAAGGCCCAGAACAGAAAGCGAGGCAAGTGACCAGTGGAGAGGCCTTCTAAGTCCAAGGCCAGACACACACACACACACACACACACACACACACGTACACATGTGTGCGCACGCGCGCACACACACAAACACACACACACACACACGTACACACGTGTGCGCACGCGCGCTATCTCTCTCTCTCTCTCTTTTTCTCTCTCTCTCTCTCCCCCCCTCCCCCCTCTCCTCTCCTCTCTTCTCTCCCCTCTTCTCCTCTCTCTCTCTCTCTCTTCCTAATATAGCCATGGCCCTGCAACTCCTTGGATATATAAGGTAAGCTACACAAAGAATATGTGAGGCAACCAAGTACAAAAAATGAAAGTTCATATATCTGGGAAATTGTTTTAATTTTCTTTTCAGTGCACAGAAGACAAAGTGCAAGTTCTGCTACGCCTTGGCTTTTGGTCTGAGCTGCTCCTCCAGCAGGCTTTGTTCCCAGAGCCTTTGGTCATGCAATTTGGGCTGGCAGCAGCTGGGCACAGCCACCCTCTACCCCCTCCCACGATGTATCACCAGCTTAGCAGCTGGGAATCCTGCTCAGGACCAGAGTCCAGGGTACAAAAGAAAGAAAAAGAACTATTCTCCAACTTCTCTACCCCAAGTACTCTGTAAGCTTCTTTAATTCTTTGTCTCCTGCAGTTTGTATTTACTTGAACAAGAACGGCAGCACAGGCCCCCACTTAGACAAGAAGAAGGTCCAGCAGCTCCCTGACCATTTTGGGCCAGCCCGCGCCTCCGTGGTATTGCAGCAGGCTGTCCAGGCTTGCATTGACTGTGCTTATCACCAGAAAACTGTCTTCAGCTTCCTCAAACAGGGCCACAGTGGCGAGGTTATCTCAGGTAAGCTCCCTTGGGCTGATACGGCCTCCTAGCCACAGGGTCAGGCCTTCTCAGCTGGCTGATTTCTGACAAGGTATCCTGGTTCCCACCTCACACCCGTAGGCACTAGAGAAGTGCGAAGGTGTTCCTTTCCTCAGAGAGTCCTCATTTTCAATTCCTTGAGCCCCTCTCAGTCTTATGCAACCCTTTGCCAAATGGAATACCCGCACGGACTCTGCTTAACTGAGCCTCTAAACAGGCTACTCCCCAGCCAGCCTGCCTGCTTCACCTCTCCATGCAGAAAATATGAGTATGTTGCTTTAAAGGCATGCCAGAAAATAGAATCAAGATGGGGGCTGTATTATATGCAAAGGAGAGTTTACCCAGACTGCCACGGCCTCCCACCTGGCGTCAGGGAACCTTGTACTCCTTTTGAGAGTCTTTTGACTCCTTAGCTTTCCAGTCCCCAGTCAGCCCTAATACAAGAGAGTTGAACCCCAGGGCAGAGTGGGAGGAGTCATTTCCTCTTTCTTTCCTGCTATGTGAGTCTGAGTCAACTACACAGTGTTTCTTGGTGGTGGTGGTGTTCTCACTGAGAATGTTCACTTTTTCTGGTGTGTCTCAGTTCTGTTTCAGTTTTCCTAAGTCCAAACCTCTTTTTTTTTTTACCCACCAAACCCATGAAGACTTGACCTAAAGCCTTTCAGTGTTAACTGTGTGCTACTCCATAATCTCCTGCCCCTTCCTTCTGACAAGTTGCAATACGCAGCCTCAGGAAGCAGTTGACATGGAAAACCCTATAAATAATCCAACTGTATTCTTTTGTAAACACTCGTCGTGCCTTCACTATATGTCAGAGGTTATTGCCAAACAGACGCTGGCTGGGGGAGGAGGAGAAAGGAGGATGAAGGCTCAGGCTCTGCCTTGGTAGAAAAGGAAGAATATCTCACAGCTAACTGTGAGGGGTGTTACAGTAGAGAAATATGTGCAGGGTGATGTGGAAGCCTGGACAAGGGAGTGATTGGCCAGGTGGAGGATGGGACAGGCAGGGACGGAATTTTAATAGAAGGCTGAGAACTGCGCAGGAAATCAAGCCTTCCTTTCCTTCTGAGGCTGAGGCCACTCCCTCTCTCTCCTTGGCTCCTGTGCAGCAGCAGTCTGCAGGGACCTGGCCTTTACTGCCTCTCTCTAGTTGCTGTCACCTATACCTCCTCTGGGGTTCTTCTGCCCCCAGATTGGTTCCTGAGAATCACCTATCCCCCCATTTTGTTTCTGCTCTCAGAGACAAATGCAGAGGCCCTTGCTTTTTAAGGATTATGCAGATACTTTTTGAATAGAAGTAGATAGGGAGTAAAATAAAACCAAACATGGCATAGTTCCAAATGTTGCCAAAATTCCGATGCCCTTATAAAGATTGCATTGTGCACCCAAACCATTGCTGGCAATGGCTGTATTCTCTTCTTCCCAGCTCCTCTGTTCTTGGGCAGTTCTTATGGAAATAGCACCCTAAATGAACAGATTTCCTGGGCGAGGCCCAGCCAACTGATGAAGCAGATAGAATTATGTTCACAGTTGTTTTCACAGGTTGAGTAAAATCATTCCAGAGCCCCGGGTACAACAGACTTGGCCTCGCCACTCCCATTATTGCAAGCTCTTTGTAGTTGGAGGCAAAAATCAAACCCAGAGGGGAGGGAGGGAGGAAACCTGGGCACTGATTGCCTTTGTGTAACCAGGTAAGCCTGAAGCAAGCCATGGGCTGGACTCCTCCTGCCCAGAGCTGCACTGAACTGCCCAGCTGACGTGCTCAGCCCTGTTTACTTCACTCCACAGCCGTGTTTGACCGGGAACAGCACACCCTCAACCTCCCGGCAGTCAACAGCATCACCTACGTCCTCCGCTTCCTAGAGAAACTCTGCCACAACCTTCGCAGTGACAATCTGTTTGGCAACCAGCCCTTTACACAAACTCACTTGTCACTCAACACCACAGAGTACAGCCACAACCACGAAAGGTACCTACCAGGTAGGAGCTGGGATGGGGCCTGGGCTAAGGAAGGGGGCAGGACTAGCAGCAGCACCAGTGAGTGCCAGCCGTCAGATCTGCTAGCCTGGCACCTACTATCCAGAGGTCTGGTTTTCTGTTCTTACTTTTTCCACGTGTGGAACTCTTTGGTCTCTTCTCATCTGTACTCTCTCTTCAGGATTTTGTCCCCTTTCTCTAGGATTAACCTCCTTTCTTCTGGATTTTTAACCCTAGAAAAAGATGGTTCAGAATTCTTCTGAGCTCCAAACTGCATGTGGAGCCACTGCGAAGTCACAGTACATCCCCCAGTGTGAATCTGGCAGCAAAGGCCTAACATAGATCTCCCTTGCCAGCAGGAGGGTTTAGTCTC